ATCATCATCATCATCATCATCATCATCATCATCATCATCATCATCATCATCATCATCATCATCATCATCATCATCATCAACAACAATTAAAACAACACAAATAATGACACTAGCAAAAACAACAACAACAGCAACAACAACTGGTTAGTCTTTGTGTGGTATCACATGGTGTTCATTAAAAAATAATAATGCTTAAATATGACTATTAAGCGCATAGAAGTTATAAGTACACAAATAAATGCAATCAATTCAGCAGATTTCGTCAGATTGGAATAGCCATCAATGGGTTCTCAGCTGCATTTTTAAAGTTTACTTCCATTGAGGATCAATAAATTAAGTACGCACTGGATATTTAGCCTAATTTTAATCCTTATACTTTCTTGTTCTCTTGACGTCTTGTTTTACTGGCTATCAGCTATTGGTCTTTTAACAGACTATCTTATATTTCTTTGCTAAAACAAATGCAAGTATAAAACAATACAGTACACAGTATCATCATCAAACGTCGTATTTGAAACAGACGTCGACGATTATCGTTTGTTGTTATTTCTCTACTCGGATGCTCTCAAAGACAAACGGATAACGCAACGGTCTTTCCTGTCATCGGTCTGTTAAAGTTTAGTAAATAAACTGTATCTAATCTATGCTTCCAGTGAGAGCAAGATATTTTTTTCAGACACAGGATACCTCATCCTGACCTTTGTCTTATATTGTTGTTCCTCATCGTAAGCTATTTTAACTTACAGGTCATATTGTCTTGCCTTTTCGTATGTGGTATTTTATAGGCTTATATCCTTATCTTGTCTTATCGCATGTTATCATGGTTATGATATTTCGGGTTTTCTTTAAAGAAAAGATAACACAACCAAACACCAGGACCATTATAAAGAAAGTACGACGTGTACATGATCTTAAACTTGATCTCATATCACCTTGGCTTACCATAGTATCTTATATTAACTTTTGTTTATGTTATAAAAAACATAGAACTAAACAAATAAAGTGCCTACATACTGAATACCTAATTAAACCTTATCTTAGATTATCTTGCCTTATCGCACCATATCTTAACTTTTGTTTCCTTCTGTTATTTAATCACAACACAACCACACCAGAATCATAACAATGAAACGAACACTATATTATTTCAAACCTTGTTGTAGAGATCTGGTCTTATTGTGTCTTATCGTAACTTATATTGTCATTCATGTTATAACTTATACCACAACCAGATTAGAATTATACCGACAAAGCAAACACTGTTTACCTAATTTTAAACATTGTATTAGAGATCTGGTTTTGATGTATCTTATCGTAACTAGGTTGTCACATAACATAGCCAGGTAAGAATCATCCCAACAAAACAAATTTTGTTTACATAATTCCAAACCTTGATACAGAGATCGTGTCTTTTCGTATCTTTTCGTAACTTTTGTTGTCATTCATATAATACCTTATAACACAACCAGAAAAGAATCATACCAACAAATGCCGTCACAGTGGAGTGTGTAGTAGCTGCCGTGATCAGTGGGATGTGATGATGAGGGGGTGGCGAACACACAAGCACAGACACACATACACAGACACGTGTTTTCATGAAGTCTCTGCGCTGTCAACTGAAGTGTGGAGGGCTCTGGTTCCCCAGCTGATCGGGTGACCGACACCAGGGCGCACGGGGGTACAGCACCACAGGGTAAGGGCACACACAGGGAACGGCCCGAAGCAACTTAATCAGAAGTCAGAAGAGCAAACTGTTTCAGAGTCCCCCAGTATCGCTTTCAAAACTCCGTTTGATGGTATTAAAAACCCAAGGACTAACACCCACACATCCCTGCCCCTTTTCACGCTCTCGTCTCACCCCCCCTTCCAACCCCCTAACAAACAAACAAACAAACAAACAAACAAACAAACAAACAAACAAACAAACAAACTAACTAACTAACTAACTAACTAACCAACAAAAACACAACTCAAACCAAACAACAAAACACCACCACCCACTGCCTCTAACCCCACCCCAAGAAAAAAAAATGGTAAAAAGAAACCCACCAAACTCCCAAAAACAAAACAAGACATAACTAAGGAAGGACAAAGAAAACAAAAAACCCAAACACCCCTTCCACAAAGAAAAAATAAAGATGAAAAAATCAAAGGAAAAAAAGAACCCATCAGAACAAAGCAACAATCACACATAAAAATATCAATAAAAAAAAAATCAAAAACGAAACAAAAACAAGATAAAAAAAATAAAAAAATTAAAAAAACCCTGCAAACCCAACAATTGAAGGACACACCGCCCATGCCATAATGGGATGGCGTCGGAAGTCTAGTGGTTAGGCTACATAGACCTGTAATTGTGAGATCGCGGGTTCGGGGTTTCGAGCATTAGCTCGGTCCGATGTTAATGTGTGTCTTTGTGTCATCGGGAAAGGTACTTTACACGAAATTCTCACTTGTCTCGGATTTTTTGGAGAATGGCGTTAAACTCGGAGGTCCCACCTCTTAAACGACCCAATAGTGATGATAGGGACATTAAATCTATACCATTTTTCACCATGATAATTGTCAATGCAGTAACGTGACACTGAAGATGAAGCTTATTTCAACAAGTATTCTAATAATAATACTGACGACGACGACGACGACGACGACGACGAGGATGATGATGATGATGATGATGATGATGATTTTCTTTGTTTCCTTAATGGGCCTGGTGGACTCCACAAAGAAATCTTCGAGCGAGAGCGAGGCTCTTTTTCGGCTCCATTGTCATTATACTTAGAGGCATCTCCACTCGTCCAACTTACTCCATTCGAATTGCCATTGTTCCAGGACATACAAACATAATTATGTTTGACATCCTCCTTTTCATAGGTGCATCTTCGGCAACTGGGACTTTATTCACAAAGTTCTTATACCATCTCAAGTGATGAAGATGATGATGATGATGAAACCAGTAAGGTCATGCACCCCACTGCTCACGGCAGCTACTACACACTCAACTGTGACGGCATTTTGTTGGTATGATTCTTATCTGGTTGTGTTATAAGGTAACCTTAACGTCTAAATAAACGACATCAACCCTATTCAAGTCTCAAGTATACACTTTTTATATTTTTTCTCTACTTTAAAACATGATGATGATGATGATGATGATGATGATGATGATGATGATGATGATGATGATAATCATAATAATAATAATAACAAATAGCATTTGTTTTGCGCAAATCACCGCTCAACAGCAAGCTCTATGCTCTTTACAATATTATGAATTGTTGCCCCTGCAGACCCAATAGCATTCAGAAAAAATGTGAACTTCCCGGGAATGTCTTCCTATCAACGTTTTTCAGAAGCGTTTTCCCCTCCTGGCAGAAAAATACTAAGAGCTTTACTTTCCACAGCTCCACTACAATAATATGTTATTAAAAAGATGCGACTTCCAAGTAATACTCGTCTATCTCCGATATCGAACGCGGGTTTCTGTTTAGTTTTAAGAAGACTTTTACCTCATTTGCAACACAAACAGGTCATACAAGTGCCAGAGATTAGAGGTGTTAATAGAGAGTAATATACAAAGGAAAGGAGGAGATATACGGACTTAGGATATTTGATAGGATAATGATAGATGCGTGTTAGTGTTAGTGATTATGCAGGGTCATGTGTCAGTGTGTGCGTGTGACAATATTCTAAACCAACTAGCACATTATTTGAATAATATAAGAGACGGGCTGCTTCGACCCAACCTGTCAGGGCCAACCCTGAGTGAGCTAGAATATAATAATACACTTAGATCTCAGCACAAACGGAGAGTGGGTTGTTGGCGGGTGCTCTGGAGTGGCTTGCTTATTCTTTCCTGTTTTTGTTTTTGTTTTTGTAAAGTGTTTTACGGCGCTCGCAACTGCATAAAGTCATATGAGCGCGCGGGACACACCTAATATTTTCAGTTGGTAGGAAATTTTGAATTTTGCCCGGGTGGCGGCCGAAGCCTACTCTTATCGATTTTAGACCACCAGTAGAAAGGCTGCAGAAAGAGTCGGGAGCCCAGAGGAGGTGGCAAGAGAGATGAAGGGGTGGGGGCAGAAAGTGGAATTGAAAGCAGACAACAGAACATTGCTAGAGAGCAGGAAAGGAGGTGAAAGGATACAATTTTAGAGAAGAAAAATTTTCGGTCGCTCCCCGGATTCGAACCCGGGACCTTTGAAAGAGAGGCCAACACCCCAACCTCTAGGCAACGAGAGCCCCGTCCTTTCCTGTTGAACTTGTATCGTCTTTATCTCCCCTTCTTCTTTTTTGTGTTTGTTACTCTCTTGTAATACCTCTAATCTTCGGCACTTATATGGCCTTATTGTGTTGCAACTGCCGCAAAACTCTTACCAAACACACACGGAGATACTCGATAACATACTTGTCCTCTCAGGAATCGAACTCATGTTTTCGGCGTCCAACAACGAACAGCGTATCCAAAAGAAATTATGTCGTTAATGTGTCACTGACAAAAATGTGTCTCTGGTTTTGGTTTTGTTGGTTTTAAGCTAAATTAATACGTTAGGAGTTTAAAAAAATCAAAGATACATATCAATCATAACATGATAATAATATGATCATACTATTATAGGTGTTATTGTATTGATGTGGAATTCTGCAAAGTTGCCCGACACTATTCACTCACTGCGCAAAGCCCGTGAGGACACAGGGGCACGACCGCTTTGAGCTGACTTCAAGGACTGAGAGAGAGAGAGAGAGAGAGAGAGAGAGAGAGAGAGAGAGAGAGAGAGAGAGAGAGAGAGAGAGAGAGAGAGAGAGAGAGAGAGAGAGAGAGAGAGAGAGAGACTTGCTACGCTCCCATAGTGATACGCCTCACCGACTTTGACCAACAAGGACACCCCCGTTCCCAACCCTTCTCCTAGCAGATCTACAGTTTTGCACCCATGCCAGCACCATACGGGTGTGAAACACGCTGACACTGTGTGCCACCTCCACACCACGCGGACCTCTTGGACCCCACGCCCTCCCCCGCCCTCGCCCCCGCTCTCTTCCCCCACCCAGATGGTGTTTGCTGTATTATTGTGTTCACTTTCCTTAACGGAATCTGTTACGCATAAATGAACATTGAGGTTATCAGACACAAACACACACACACACACACACACACACACACACACACACACACACACACACACACACACACACACACACACACACAAGAGTGCATACCCACATATACACACACATACACACATGAACGCATATTGTATTATCATGCATATACGTGCACACACATACAAACGCACATACATACTCATACACCCACACAATCATACATACGCGCAAGCACAAACATACAGACATGTGTGCATGCATTCACACACATACACATAAACACACATACACACAGACACACACACAGAATGAGCACCCATACGCACATACGAAAACAATTTAATGCCGCGCACTAATTTATTCTTACACGCATGAATAAACATATACACACAAACACACATTAATACTGGTGCCATACGCACGGAAGATTTGAAGGAAAAAAAGAAGGCAAACTTCAAACAACAACGAGTAATTCAAGCACATGGAACGTCTCGATTACGAGCGATTGGTTTTTTTTTAGGATCTTTTTTTAAATATCAAAGCAAGTAGCAGTCAAAAGGCGTCTACAATGTATTTCGTTTTAAGGTTTGGAGTTTTAGGCACCTGCAACACAGTGAGGTCATACAAGTGCCGAAGATAAGAGGCTTTACAAAGAGAGTGACAAACACACACACACAAACAATAGAAGAAGGAGAGATAACGACGATAGATGTTTGATAGAAAAGGAGCAAACCACACCAGAGCATCCACCAACAACCCACAGGCGTCAATTTATGTCTGGTGTCGGGAGAATGACGTCACCCAATAATCAGAGCTCGAGGGGCAAGCTCAGTTCGTGTTAACAATACCACGACGCAAAATAGATTGGAGTGATTGGAGGCTTCCTGTGATTAACCCTTCTTCTATACAGCTGTGAATGTTGGACATTTATCGCACACTAAAAGAATGAAAGTGCAGACATGCGGTTTTAATGGAGACGTGCTGAGCATTTTATGGAAAGACAAGAAATCGTATGAGGTAGTACTGAAAGGAGCCCGTGTGGCCGCATACTAATAAAAACAATAAGGAAGAGACAAATAAAAGCAGTTTATAGGAAACTTGAATCGGCATACAGGCCTTGAAAACCTTGCTTTCATTGAAAAAAAAATCGAAGTAAAACCGAGTTAAACCCAGATAACCTACTTGTAAAAATCGTAGCAGATGGGTGACAGGTAGAGCATTTTTT